CTTAAGTCTGTGTGCAGGCCGGGGTCCTTTAATTCGGCTCAGCCTGGATGTTATGGATGCTGCCAGCACAACGCAATCTATTACATTACAACCCAGTTCCCCACCTGCATTTTTAAGTGTTCTCAGACCCCTCCTGACGAGCTGGGCCCATCCGCGGGCACGCGGCCCCGCTCCCGTCCGTCGCCGCCCCATCTGACCCAAGAGGAGCCCAGTCCGAGGCCCAGGCGCCGCGCTCCCGTCCGGCACCGCCCGGTGTGTTCCAAGGAACGGCCAGCTGTGATGGTGTTCGCTTGCACCGCTGTGCATTACTTTGCACTGTTGATGTGCGTTGCTTTGCACCGCGCTGCATTGTCTTGCGATGCTTTGCGTCGCTTCGCATTGTGTTACACTGCTCTGCCTTACTTTGCATTGCATTGCGTTGCGTACCTTTTGCATCGCCTCGCATCGCTTTTCATATTAGTTCGTTGCTGTTGATTGCTTTGCAATTCATTCCATTGCTTTGCATTGCTTTGCTGTGCTTTGCATTGAATTGCGTTGCATTGTGTTGCATTGCTTGTTTCGTTACACTGCATTGCTTTGTATTAGTTGGCGTTACTCTCCATCGCGTTACATTGCATTGCTTTGCATTCATTTGCATCGCATTGCATTGTTTTGCACTGCTTTGCATGACGTTACATGCCTTTGCATGGACGTGCATTAATTTGCATAGCTTTGCATTGCTTTGCATTGCCTTACGCTTCTTTTCAATGCTTCGCACAATCTGGATTGCACCACATGAACTGCACAGCCTAGATTGCACCAAATTGATTGCACCACCTAGATTGCACCGGATATATTGCAAGACGTCATTGTTTGGGTACACGTTTTGTACCGTAACTAGGTGGCACACTCAAGTTAAAGGCAAAGTATGTGAGGGCTTCCAGAGGCTGAACACTTGTTTCGACAAAACACCTCGATGTTTTTCTCTTAGCGAGGACGTCCTGGGTAGAAGGGGGCCTCCTCAGGTGCAACGTCATGGGGGGATAGGGCTCAATGGGGGGGGCCCATCGACCCCCAATCGCCCATTGATCGCCGACAGGGACCCGATAGCCCACTCCATCCAGGAACGTGCGTACTTGCTATCTGGAGCCTATTGCCGATCTGTCGACGATGTATCGCCGGCTCCAGCTTGATGCTTCCCCCCCTGAGCTGGTCCCCTGGTGGTTTTGGGATCATTGCTCGGGCCTTTCGCGGCAGTTCGGGACGATCCAGGAACCCTTTGAACGCTCTCGGCGTGGCGCAGCCGCTGGAAGTAAAACTCCGAGGCTGGAAAGTGGCCGAAAACAGTCTGAAACGGAGAAAAAACTCGACCCTCGATCCTGGAAGCGTTTTTCCCTGACGTTCTACCTCATGGGTCGGGGTGCCTGGCCAGCGGCGGGTCCCTCCCTCTTGGAGCCTGGCCTGCTGGATTGTGTGCTGGAGTGCCCCTAAAGCTGTCCCTTACCTCGAACCTTGAAAGGTTATCCTTCGAACCTTTAGGACAACTTCGACTCTCGAACCTCGAAGCGTTCTCCCGGACGTTCTCCCTAGAGAGCCGTATTTTACTGGGGGGACGGGGACGGGGGACCGGTCACGTCGCGAGTCGCGCCGGCGCCGTCTGGGAATGCCTAGAAGTGGCCGGTTTCCAGACGGCGCTGGCGCGAATCGTGACGTGATGAGGGGGGGGGGAGGGAGGAGGGGGCGGGGCCAGCGACGGGCGTCGTCGCGAAGGATGCAGAGCTTGCCCGACGTGGCTTCCCCTCTCGTTTCCCGTCCTCCCGCCTGGTCGCTCCTGCGGTTTGTGTGCTTCTCGCCGCTTCCCCCCGCTCGGTTCCCGTTGCCTTCCGTCCTCCCTGAACGTTGCCTCAAGTCGGGCCTGTCCCTCTACAGGGGGAAAATTCGAAATTGGTCAAAAAATAAGACGGGGATGATTTTTTTAAACCCTTTTCAGCACTTGGGGGGCCTTTCTGGGGTATTTTTTGTTGGTTTCGCCCAGGCTCCGCCTGTGGGGGGACAGGCCCGACCTAAACGTTGCCCCCTCGCCTCCCTGGGCAGGCGCACCGCGCCGCGGCCGCCCCGTGCGGCCCGCGGGCGCGCCCCGGCAGGGCCCCCCTGGCGAGGCCTGCCGCCCGCGGCGCGCGCGGGGGCCGGCGGGTGGGCGGCCGAGCGGCCGAGGTCTGGCCCAAGGTGCCCCCCAGGATTCTCGGGTCGGGCGAAAGGGGGGGATTGGGAAAGGGGGGGTTACGAAATTTGCTGCATGCAGCTGGTTTCGGCCTCACCGAGGGGCCCATTCCTCGATACATGGCCGCCTCCGGCGCCGGGAGGCGCCGGGAAAATCAGCTACGTGAGCTGATTCTCAAACCCCCCCTTTGCTATCCCCCCCTTTCGCCCGACCCGAGATTTTCGGGGTGGCCCAAAGGGCCTCCGGGGCACCCCTCACGAGGCCCAGAGGGCCCCTATGGGGCTCCGAAGTGCCCCTGGCCCAAGGTGCCCCCCAGGATTCTCGGGGTGGCCCAAAGAGCCTCCGGGGCACCCCTCACGAGGCCCAGAGGGCCCCAGATGCTCTGTTTGTTTTGGCCGGGGAAGTTCTCATGCCATTTTTTGTTGAAGGATGTTATTCTGGCCCAGGTCCGACGGTAAGACCCATACCTTTGGCGTCTCGAAAGGATCGGGACGGCGGCTCGGGGCCCTCATCCCAGACCTGGGGACCGTCCAAACACGACGCGGGACGAAAAGCAGGCCCCGGGAAAGTGGTCGAGATGTCGGGGGCCTGGTATCCAGGTCTCCCAGGTGGGGTTCGAGCAGCTGGGGCCACCACGCGGGTGCGAAGTTGGTCGCGCTTCGTGATTTGGGCGATTTCAAAGTGAGGCGCGAGTCCTTTGTCCTGTCGTGGGGGGGGGCACGCGAAAGCGCGAAGATAATCGCGCTTCGCGGAGCGCAGAGATAGTTGCCCTAGGGTATGAGCAGATGGGGTCGAAAGATTCTGCCGCATCGCTCATGCATCCGCGACGCGGCTCGATGAGGAGCCCGATTCTCTGCACGCCGACGCCGCCGATGCATGGCCGACGACCTCGAAGCATCGCTGTTGGGGGCGGCCTGATCTGGCGCTGCGGCAGCCAGTTTAGGATTGGGCGCCTGGCCGCGCAGCGCGCGCTGGAGAAGCTGGGGGGCTCGGGGGAGCTCTGGACAGAGTCGCCTATCTTGGATGGAGGGGGGGGGCCGCGCCGAGAGGGCCCTGGGCAATTGCGCGAAGGGCAGGGCAAATGCCAAGGGCCTCGCGATCTGGGCCCTGGCGCTTCGCGACCTCGATCCTCAACGACGCGATCGAGCCCGTCCTGTATCCCACCCTCAGGGCCTTCGGCGCGGCGTGGATTGGCGAGAAGCTCGCCGGGAAGGGCGCTGGATCGAAGACCTCGGCGTTCATGGTGGGCCGCGCGGAGGCGATGGGGCAGAAGCCGAGGCGGGCGAGCTTGCCCCGGCGGTCGCGACCGCCAAGCGCTTCGACTTTTTGAAGGCTTAGCCAGTAACCCGCGTTCGGCCCGGCGTTTTCGACGATGGCAAATTGTCCGCGCAATCGGCGTCTATCCTCAAGGCCTTCCTGATCCCGAGCGAGGAAGACGCTGCGATCTGGGCTTGGCGGGGACCGGCCGCGAACGACGCGGGGCCTTTCCACCAGGTCTGCGACAGCGCGCGCGACAAGAGGTTCAAGGCCAAGCTCGTCTCCCAGTGGAAGGAGGGCGCGCCGGAGGACGTGGGCGGCGACGATTTCCTGCTGCTGATCAGGCCATTCTTTCGGCGGGTAAAAGAGGAGGAGGACTGGCCGGCCGTCGCGGCGCGGACGCGCTTCGCGCAGGTCACGGACAAGCGGGTGCATTTCCGCCGCGCACGCGAGGGGGGGGGCCGCGCGCCCTGGTGGACCTACACCAAGCCGAACAAGCCAGACCTCTTCAACCAGAAGTGCAAGGAGGCGTTCGGCAAGTATGAGGAAGGCCCGACCAAGCCCGTCTACCCCCGAGTATTTCGAGTAGGACGTCAAATCATCGATGAACTACTTGAAGCGTCTCCTGCAGAACGAAGACGCGCCGATCGTGCCGACTGTCACGGGCGCGGGCATCTTCCCCGCTTCTCTTGCGCCGTCCACGCCGACAAGGGGCTACGACGAGTGGGGCGCTCACTTGACGGGCGCCGCTGCGTCGTTTTCGAGCGGCCATCCTGATGCAGTTGCCGCCGCTGGCAGGGTGGGCGTCGACGAGCAGAGGGCCATCCATGAGGCGACGCAGCGGGATTCCTTCCGGCAGAACCAGAGGGCCGCCGGCGCGCGCATGGACCTCGCGACGCCCCCCGGCAGTGCCGCGCCGCGGAGGGCGACGACTCTGGCATGGAGACCGCGTTCGCGCTCCACCTCGACCGCGCGGACGACCTCGACCGCAAGCGAATGGAAGGGGCCCGCGCGCAGACGGGAGGGGGTGGCATGACGGATTGAAATGCTGGGTGGGCGGGGTGCCCAGTCGCGGGCAGTGCTGCCGTTTTCGGTTCGGGCAACGACGGGGCGCGCGCCGCCGAGGGGGCGCGCGCCGCCGCGCCTCAGATGCGCTGCTAGCGCGCAGCATGGCCCCCCGCGCATGGAGTTCTCATTGGCCCTTGAGCCACGCGCACGTCGCGCGGCGGCTTTCTAAGGCGGAGCTCGGGCTATGCGGAGGGGGGGGGGGCCCTTGCGAGCGCCGCGCCGCCGCGCCTTGAGCCGACTTGGGAAGAGCGTTCGCCGTCATCGCTGCAATCGTCGTCGTCGCCGCCGCCGTCGCCATCGCCGCGGTGCCCGTCGTCGTCGTCGTCGCCGCCGGCGGCAGAGCATTGGTTGTGATGTTAATAAATGGGCGTCTGTTGGTGCAGCGCCCAGCCGTTGGGCGGTCGCGCCGCGGCGTTCGGCTCGCAGGTTGATCGGGCCCCCCTCTGGATTTCGGCGTTCCTCCGCATCCCACGGCATGGCGCGTTGCGCAGACGCGGCGGCCCATTTGGACGCGCTGAAGGACATGGACGCGGCGCGCAGAGACTCTTTCACCCGCGCCGTCTCACGCGCGGAAATCCTGGACCTTGGGAGCTACTTGGAAGTCGAGACGGCACGCGCATTCCTTGTCTGACAACACTTCGGCACGGCGCGCAAGACGCACTGCCGCGCTGAACGCGGCGGGGCGCGCGCGCCGAGCGCGCTGCACCGCCGCGGCGATGCCGCGCACTTCCACTTGCGCGGACCTCGCTGCGACGGCGGCTGCGGCGCGTGCAGCGGCGACGGGGCGTCGGCGGTGAAGGGCATTATTATGGCTGGTCCGCCCGCGAGCCCACGGACGAGCAAACTCGACTCGTTCGCGACGAGGTGCTTCGACTCGCAACCTTGGCGCGCCCAGGCCCGAACTGCGCGTCGGCGCCCGCGCGACGCTGGAGCGTTGGATCCAGACTTTCGAAGAAAGCGTCGAGGCGCGCGTGGCCGCGGGGATGGACTCGTCCGGCGCCGTCGCCGGCCTGCTCGGCAGCGGCCCGCGCAAGCGCCCCGCTGCCGCGGAAGCTGCGCCGGGGCGTCTGGCCAAGCGCTCGACGGGGGGCTAGGCGGCGCGGGCGGGCGCAAAGAAACTGCCTGTCATGAGGCGCCCCGCTCGGCCCGCGCCCCCAGCAGCCCGAACCGAGAAGGTCATCTTGCAGGTTGGCGAGTCTTTCTTGAACAATTACAAGTTGCCCAAGTTGGCGAAGAGCGCGCGGCCGAAGAAAGACAAGCCGCGGCTCTGGAGCGCCGTCACCCAGGGCTCGCCGCACCCGCCCCCCCCAATGTTTCGAAGTTTGCGGGGGGTGCCTGCGACGGCGAGCCCAGGGGCAAGAAGGAGCTTTTGGACAACATCGAGGAGTTGTCGCCGCCCGCTGGGGGCATCATTTTCTCTGGGAAATGGAGGGGGGGCATCGCGGCCGCGAAGCAGTGCTGCAGTGGCACTGGCCTCGCCGAGCGGACGCTGCCGCGCGAGGTAGCGAACCGCTGCGCTGGCGAGATCGCGAACGTCAGAGGGTTCACTACCAACCACGTAGATCTTCAATGGCCATGGATCAAGCGATGGATCAGGAAGCGCGACGGCGGCATGCTGCCCGAGAGGGCCAACAGGGAGAAGTGGTCGAGGCTTCTGGCCGGTCGTTGAGCAGGACGTGACTTTCGCGGCGCCGGTGGCCGCGTTCTATGCGCGATGCTATATAGGGCATGGCGCTTGCCATCCAGTGGCGTATTAACATTCAAGTCATTAGTGCTCTTTTGAAGCGAAGCTTGAGCTATGTCGGAGAAGAAGGATCCCCGTGCGAAAGCCATGTCGCAGCGCCCCGAATGAATTGCGAAAGCTGATCATCGCCATCGGCGCTGTGATTGCCGATGACGTTGCCGAAGTCGTGCGTTCCAGTATTCGGTTTCTCGCAAACAAAAAACGAAAAATATGCCCACCTTAAAAACGCACGGGGCTCAAATGATTTTAACCTTTTTTGATAAACGAGTATGCGCGCATAGTTTTTTACAGAGGTCAATTGGGGGGGCGGATACTGGCCTGCCTGGGGTGGTACGAGCTCATATTTCTGATGGGCGATGGGGCAGAATCATATGTTAGTTTTGCAATGCGAAAATGACCGTTCATTTCGAGAGGGGCTGTAGTAGATATTAGTATTGCTTTTAGAAAGGAGAATCTCTGCTGAGCAACCTTTGCGGGGCCACTTACGTGGTGCAGTATCTTGGATGCAATCGAAGCTGTGCTATCTAGGTGGCGACGGGGCGGCGACGAGGCGGCGACGGCGACCACGAAGCTGCCATGCCGCCTTCCAGGCCCAGACGACGGCCCGCGACGAGGCGGCGATGGCGACCATAGAGTCGCTGGACCGCTACCCAGGGCCACGCGACCGGCGGCGACGAGGCGGCGTCGGCGCCGGGACGGCGACCATGGAGCCGCGGGATCGCCACCCAGGCCCAGACGACGTGCGGCGACGAGTCGGCGACGGCGTTCACGGAGCCGCCAGGCCGCCACCCAGGCCCAGACGACGGGCGGCGACGGGGCGGCAACGGCGACCACGGAACCGCCAGGCCGCCACCCAAGGTTCAGTTGCCTTAGGAAACGAAGCACTCCGTAAGTGCAAGCGTGGTTTCGGGAAAAACAAGATTCTTTGCGCTGTTCCTTCCCCGGAACGACGGCGGCCGCAACGGCAGCCAGGACGGCGTGCCGACGACACGCGACGGCGCCGGCGGCGACGACGCTCTCCACCGCGGCGACGGCGACGACGAAAACGGACTGGCGACAGGTTGCCGACGGTGGCGGCGGCCGTGGCGACGGCGACCACAGAGGCGAGGTGGCGACGACGACGGGTTGGCGACTGCGACAACAACTACGACGACGACGACGACGACGGCGCGGCTACGGTGCCGACGGCGGTGGAGGCTACGGTGACCACAATGGCGACGGCGATGGCGAC